AGAATAGAATAGAATAGAATAGAATAGAATAGAATAGAATAGAATAGCTTTATTGCCCAAAGTGTGATTGGACACACAAGGAATTTTTCTTTGTGATCTTATTGTCTTTGTGATCTTATTGTGATAAAGTATATCACCATAAACAAGGGGGGGGGAGGCATTGATTTGATAATTACAGTGTCTGTGTTTTCTCTAGAAAATCAATCAGAATAGAATAGAGCTGGAAGGGACCTTCAAAATCTTCTAGTCCAACCATCTGCTCAAGCAGGAGATTGGGATTCAACTGGTGATTGGGATTCAGATGGGTGGGATTCAACTGGTGTAACAACCAGCTCGGTGTGCATGCACAAATGAGGTGTGGCAATTTGCTGTGCTGCAAAACATGGAAATAAAGGACAGGCTAGGGCAGGGGTCTCCAACCTTGGCAACTTTAAGACTTGTGAACTTGTGAATTCTGGGACTTGACGCCCAAAAGTCTTAAAGTTGCCAAGGTTGGAGATCCCTGGACTAGGGCAGGGGCGGGTGGGAGGGGTCAAATGATTGCCGGAACTACTGGTTTGCCAAAACCAGTCTGAACTGGTAGAATCCCACACCTGAGGAGACCCTATACAGTTTGAGAGAAGTGGTTGTCCAGTCTCTTTTTAAAAACCTCCAGTGATGAAGCACCCACAAATTCTGAAGGCAAGCTGTTCTAATGGTTAATTGTTCTCACTTTTAGGAAGTTTCTCCTTAATTCCAACTTGCTTCTCTTCTTGATTAGTTTCTATCCATTGTTGCCTTCTGATGCTTTGGAAAATAAGTTGACCCTCCCCGCTTTCTTCTTTGTGGTCGTTCCTCAAATACTGGGAAACTGCTATCACTTCAGTCCTTCTTTTCTTCAGACTGGCCATACCCAGTTCCTGCAACCATTCTTCATATATTTTAGTCTCCAGGCCTTTAACCATCTTACTTGCTCTTCTCTGCACTTTTTCCAAAGTCTCAATATTTTTTTTGTGATGAGGATGCTGTATTCCAGGTGTGGTCTTACTAAGGTTTTATAAAGCAATACTAATATTTCACGTGATTTTGAATCTATGCCTCTATTTATACAACCAAGGATTGTATTCACTTTTTTGGCTCTATTAGCTTTTTTGGCTGATTGGAATGGGCTTATTCTTCCAATGAAGGGGGTTTCTGAAGGCACCATATACTGTGGTAGTTTTTAATGCAGTATGTAAGTAATGTTAATTGTAATAGGAGAGAATATATGCAATTCTTCAGGAATTAAAATATGAAACTCACCAATATCACTAGCTGAGGCTCACCAGTAACTGACTCCAGACAACTCAAGACCTTGGTTTTACCAGTGAGTCCTATAAAGATGGGTCGGTTTCTAAAATCTAAGTTTTCATTGGGGACCACAGCCATCAACTGCTCTGCAGAACAAGAACAATATAGCTGAGTCAACAAAAATAGAGAAAAGCATCTTTATTTGGAAGTGGAGTTTTGAATGAGAAGCTGTTGGTGGAAAAATGTCAATAAAACTTTTTAAGCTATCAAATAAATCATAAAGCAAGTATTAGTTTTAAGATATTCATTAGATCCTAAATTATTCTATGTCCACACTGATAAATTCTCAGAACATATGATACTTACAGCTTGCACCCATTGCTACATCTACATTACTAATAACATGTAAATAACAAGATCTTTATTGATCATAAGAAGAATTGATCCTTCTGAACTGGGATCTTTCTCTTTTGATCATCCATCTGGACTATATAATTCCTCTCCCACAAGAAATGTGGGTTATAGTGACAAGGAAGATGAAGTAACATGTTTCAACCCACCAGTCATTTGGTGTAATGGCTATTTCCCTAGACAATCAATCAAGAGGTTCTGGGGGTTTTTGGTTTTGTTTGGTTTGGTTTTTTGCACACACAAAAAAGCAAGACTATTTGGATAAAATTTAAAAATCTAATCTCTAACGTTGGACTACTTGTCTGTATTTTAATTGCAAGATTGCTCCTTATAGTTCTGGACTCAGAATTTCCTGCAATATATACCAGAAATATTATTTTAGACTTTGGTTAGTTAGCTGACTATTTCGGCAATAAGTCTTCCATAAAACCAGGGAGATAAATCTTAAGTTCTTTATGTTATCCCCTGGGTTTGGGAAAAGTCACTGGAAAACAATCTGAAATATCACCCTTCTTGTCCACTGTTGTATTAGCCCTTAACATTTAGCAATAGTGATGTAGGAGATGCATCATGTCATGAGTCCCTGCACACCCAAAAGAGATCTAAGTCCAGCCCACCTTGAATGCTTTCTTACACTCATTTATTTCCCTTGACCATTACCTGTAGTAGATCAGATTCTTGTAGAGAGCTTAAGCTTTCAATAAATCTTTATACTCATTTGAACTGGCTTAATTCCCTGGCACTTGATAAGCAATAGCATTTAGGCTTATATACCCACCCACAGTGCTTTACAGCACTCTCTGGGTAGTTTACAAGGTAGAAACATTATCTGCATATTGCTCCCAATGCTCTGAGTCCTCAATTTATCAACCTTGGAAGGATGAAAGACAGAATCAGCCTTGAGACCCATCAAGATCAAACTCTATGCTGTGGGCAATTTGCCTGCAATACTGCACTTTAACCACTGTGCTGCTAGGGCTCTTTTCAAGCCTTATCAAAAATTCAAGTTGACTTACAATTATTTGGCTTATCATGCCAACACCATACCAACACTTCCATTTCCCCCATTTTTTCCTTGATTGGGGAATGCATGGACCCAAACAACTTCTAAAGCTGATGCAACTTTATATGGAAATGTTAGGAGAGGAATAAACAGAAGCATCTAGATGACAAATCTGTGCAAATCTCCTTCTGAGACAAGAATGTGATGCAGAAGCAACTGAAAGAATCACCAGCTCCATGGTTCTTCATAACAAGAGCAACACCTTGGTTATGCAACTCCAGAATTTACATGTCTATAGAGGTTCTTAATCATCCAGGTCATGGTGGTCCCAAAAGTGCTTTTCCAAAAGGTAGCTGGACCATCCTGTTTTTACTTTGAAACTGAACTGAAGAAGCTTCTTGATTGAGAAGCAAAAATGTTTTTCAAAGGAAAAAAACTAAGGAAGATCAGTTGGAAAAAGGGACTTTTGGAATATCCAGAAATTATTATTTGATCAGATTTGGCCAATTATCTTTTTGCCAAGGATTACTGAGGATTACTAAAGTACTAATGTTCCTCCTTAATACCTGGTACCATAGAATACAGCGGCGCTGCTATCAGAACATTGTTCTCAAAGAAGAAATATTTCTGATCGAAATCCCACATTCTGAAGTTCCAGGGGTCATTCATAGCTTCTTTATCTGGAAGACATGGCTATGAGTGAATAGAAATATTTAAAATGGTGAAAATACATTAGCATAGAAAGCAGGTGTCAGTAGAAGAAAATGCAAGTAGTCCTTGACATATAACAGTTCATTTTGGTGACTGCTTGAAGTTACAACAGCACAGAAAAAAGTGGCTTATGATCGCTTTTCACACTTATGACCATTGCAGTATCCCTACCTTCATCTGATCAAAGTATTAAACACTTAGCAACTGACTCATATTTATGAAAGTTGCTGTGTCCTGGAGTCATGTGATCACCTTTTGTGACCTTCTGACAAGCAAAGTCAATGGTGAAGCCCCATTCATTTAACAACCGTGTTACTAATTCAACAGCTGCAGCAATTCACTTAACAACCATGGCAAGAAAAGTCATAAAATGGAGCAAAACTCACTTAAAACTGTCTCACTTAGCAACATAAATTTTGGACTCAATTGTGGTCGTAAGTTGAGGTCTACCTGTGTATAATGTAATAAGTTTTCCCCTTTCTGCTTCTGCATGTTGACCACTCTACTGTTGTATAAAAGAGCCAGGAAAACCTGCTCTTCATCCAGGCCTTTGAAGAGAGAAGAGAGACCCCGCATGTCATCATGCTTGCCATCCTTTATCTTTATTTTTTATGTTTTATTGGATTGGATTGTTGTGAGCCACCCAGTCATTGGGATGCAAGCCTGCAAGTTTAATAAATTATGGTTGATCACACAGTCAACCAGATGTTTAGGCTGGATTTGGCATTGTTTACCTGTCAAGTTCTTTCCAAGGACCATTATTATCATTATGGTCAGTCACATAGTCAGTCAGATGTTTAGACTGTGTTTGGCATTTTTATATACCTGTCAAGTCCCTCCCAAGGACCTGGGATAAGCAGATGTTATTGTCTGATGGTGTTAAACATATTGTTGCAGGATATATCCTGTTCCAAGAAAAGCTTTCTTTTGCAATTGACTGGTGGTGATTTTGTCAATTCTGATGGCTATTATTATGTACCACCTTGCAAACATTTTTCACATTCATGGCTCAAATCAAGGTTGCAAATTGCAAAGACACTGAATATAATTACAAACATGCATATCGCTATTTCCCTTGACCCATTTCGTTCAATTCGTGAGATGAGTCTAAATGCCTCCATTGTTAAGAAACTGCAATGTAACAATTTATCAAGTTCCCAGTTCTAACATACACAGCCAAAGAAAGTTTTAGATTGCAACCCTAAAGTTGCTATTTACCTTTAAATTCATGGAATAAATCTTTTAATTCCTCATCAACAGTTCTCTTCTGCAGTTCCATTTCAGTAGTTACTGAGTAACTTATGACAGCAATTACTGCTGTCTGTCTCTCTGATTACCTTTCAGGTGATTAGATGCCTCTTTGAAGTTATAGTTACAATTCTAGAAGAAGCAACTGAAAGAGATTTGCATTACATTTAGGATGAGAAGAGAATTAAAGTCAATAATTATTCTAAGCAAAAAATGAAAAGAGATCAAGAGCTTTGTTACATATGGATAGAAACCAGAGCCAAGAAAACTGGTTTTTAACAAGAGAATGAAGGCAATGCACTGTTTTTTTAAAAATAGTTTTTATTGCAGTTTTCAAAAATACAAACCTCAATCATAGTCTTAATGTTTTGGCATCGACAAATACATATATCCTATATACATTTATTTATAATCATATTGATAATCGACTAAGGTCTCCTGCTTTATTTGCCATAATCCTTCTTCCTAATCTTAGTATCTGTTTTTTAACCACTCATACCATTTATCCCTTATTGCATAATATTCCGAATCCTCCTTGTCTTTCATTTCCAATGTGAGCTTATCCATTTGGCACATTGCAGTACCTTTTGTATGATCAAGTCTTCTGAGGAGGTATTGGCTCCTTTCCATAATTGTGGGAAAGTTATTATGGCTGCCATCAAAATATGTAATATAATATACTTAATCTTTTTACTATATTGTCCTGTAATTATTCCAATAAAAAGAATTCCAGTTTGAGTTCAGTTTGGTGTTTGGTAATCTCTTGTAGCCAGTTTTTTATTTTAACCCAATATTTCCTGGTCTCGGGACATAGCCACCATATGTGATAGAAGGTACCGTACTTTTGTCAACATTTCTAACATTTTGGACTTATGTTGGGGGACATCTTAGCCAATCTCTCTGGGGTCAAGTGCCAACGATAGAACATTTTGTACAAATTTTCTTTTTAAGCCGCGGAGGTCGATAATTTATAATTTCTAGTCCATAGTTTCTCCCATTCATCTAATTCAATACTGTATCCAAAGTTCTGTGCCCATGCTATCATTGAACCTATTGAATTCCAATAAATAGTTATACGCTTTAGTTATAAATTTTTCCTCTGCTCCAACTAAAATTTTATCTAATTGTTGTTGTTCTTTGTCAAATCCAAATTCCACTAAATCCTTTTTATACCTATCCTGTAGTTATAAATATGGCCACCAGTCAATTATAATTCCTTGTTCTCTCAGCTCTTGGTTCATTTTAAGATTCCCTTGATTATCTAATAAACCGTTATAGCTTACCATTTTTTTTATATCCAATGATTTGGGTAGTTGACAGCCAGCAGGGTATCTTGATGTAATGTTTCTTTTTAATTTTCATTCAAATCTGAATAAGTGAGTCTCTTATTTGATGTCTATAGAAGTAAGAGTGTACCTTACTCCTTTTTCCCCATAAAAATGCATGCCAGCCCATCTGGAGGACATAACCTTCTAATGTTAAAATTATTTTATTTTTTAAATTTACCCAATCCTTTATCCAAGTTAATGTCATGGCCTGATAATAAAGTTCCCACTCTGGTACTCCAAAACCACCTCTGCTCCTTCCATCCTGTAGCATTTTCAATTTAATGCACAGTTTCTTGCCTAACCAGATGAACTTCATTGTTGTTTTCTTTAGCTCTTCAAAACAAATTTATCTAGTTTTATAGGAATTGTTTGAAATAGGTATAATAGTTGGGACAAAAATGCACTGCTTTATTGTTCTCATAGGATTGCTTAGGTTTTTGCTGAAATAGGACTAGGGAAATAAAATGCTTTAGATAAAGGAGGAAAGGGAAAAGGAAAGGAAAGAAAGGGAAGGGAAGGGGGAAAAGGAGGAAAAAGGAGGGAAGGGGAAAAGAGAGGGAAAGCTTTAAAAAACTACAGGACAAAAAAGCAACTTAGTATCTAAATTTGTGGACATGCCCACAGTCAACTGAAATAGTCTTGCATTTTGTAAAACTAGAAAAACTAATTTCTGGCCTATCTAAATAACTTTTGACCTTCATATTTCCAAGAGAAGGATTCATGCTTGAAAATGATTCTGCTAACTTAAGTTCCCCTTTTACATAACATGAATAGATTTGTCTTCTTGGCTATATAGGCAAACAATGGTTCTATTCTGGAATTTCTCTCCAAACAAATCTGCCTACTATCATCTTGAACCCAACATTGCCTGTAGCAAAAGTGAGAAATTAGAACTGTGCATCTTGAAACTGAAGGGCAAATATCAAAATTTGGCAGGCATTTGAGGGTTTTTTCCTTTTTACTGAAAAAAGAAACAAAATGGGCAAACCCAATCTTAATGTCCTTGATTGTTTTGTTTAAAAAAATCCATTTAAACATTCCTCAAACTAAGAGGTCAAACAAAATTGCTATTTTTCCTGGGGGGTTTAGAAGCTGTGGGGATGGGAACATTTGCCTGGTTTACAACTGAATCTCTTGTAATACTCAGAATCAAGAAGTTAACTTTTCTAGTATCTCCTCTTGAATTTTTTCTTCATCTTTTAAAAGAAAGATGAAGCATTAGGCTACATTTGGTGGCCTTATGCTTATGCATAGTTTTGCGTGGGACCCCAGAAAAAGTTACCTCTTTAGTGGCATTTTTTTTTAGTAGAGTTCTGAAACTCTTAACAAAAGTCTCTAAAACCTTACACCTTCTGCTTTAAAGTCATAGGAGAGTGGATTAGAAATCACATAATTTTTTGCAAGCTCAGCTGCAGAAACAGCTGTCAGTTATAATATTTCTGACTTTGGGACCAAGCAGTTCTCTTTCTTTGTGGTTTTTAGACACAAAGCGATAAATTTATTGGGCAAAGCGTTTGGTAATTGTTTTCAAAGCACTATTTTTAAAAGCAGCTAAATTGGTATGGTAGGAGGTATGCCAATCTGCTACAAAAAAAACAAAACAAAAAACCCAGCTTTATCACTGGAGAATAGAATGAATTTTATTTTCAGAGACTTGCACAGGTGATAGCCTTGCTTATACATTCATATAAGATATCTGTAGTCTAGTATTATATTATATTAGATATTATATTATATTTACATTATTATATTATGATTATAAGGGTTGAAGCGAACCCAGCAAGTTTAGTGGGTGAATAAAAGGAAGGGTTATAATCTCTCACCTAGCATATCTTCCAATATAGTTAACAGAATGAAATGGAGGGGGCTAGACTCTTTAATCATTTCCTACTAATAGATGATACTATAGGATTAATATTTAACAATCCCAGTGCCAAAATATGAGATATATAATGTAAAATATGTTATATGAGATAACGCGGGAGCCTCCAATTGCTTAGCTTCTTTATTCCATTGTTTAGAACAACCATGGCAGCCGTGGTGGCTCCTTTTACAGTAAAGCTGCTAGCAGCTACAACCAGTGACAGCTCTTTAAATTCCCACCGCCACGGACCAACCAATCAGAGGTGACATTGTAAATATCTAATACCCCTCCCCCCTGTTCCGGTCCACCCAATCCTGTCCCACCTAGCGCATGTACTCACGTAGATAGGCGGCACTCTTATGGGCGTGACTGGACCTGGGCAGTTCTGTCATCGGCTGGTCTTTGAGTTGTTTAGATGGACTTATTGCTCCTCCTGCTCCCTTCATTGGAAACTCCTGGAACCTTCTAGTTAGGGCAGCCATTTTATCTCCACTAGATGCTGCCCTTTTGATCTCTCCCATGGCCTGTTCCTGCCTTTGTGTGTCCAGTAAGTGTCTGCTATTTCCATTCAGTGTTTTTGATGCTATTCTTAGTTGTTGAGATTGTGTCTCACTAGCCATTACAGCCTGTTCTGTGTTATTTCTTGTTTGGATGGGGTCTCCCCCTTCCTCTCTGGGTGTGTTGTGTCTGTGGGAAGGGTCTCCCCCTTCCTCTTTGTTTGTAATGTATATGTGTGAAGGGTCTCCTCCTTCCTTTCTATTTATGTCCGTATTTCCCCATGCCCCTCGGGTTCTTCGTTGATCTATGTGTCTTCTCCAGCTTCAGCCATCTGTTGTGTCAACCCTGTAAGAATGGGGCCCCGTTACTTGGGCCACCTTCGCTGGTACCCATAGAGGATCCCGTTAGGTTTTTAGCATAAACTGGATCACCCATTTGGAACGTCTGGCATTTGCGGGATGAATCTAGTGGTCTGTCTGGATTGTATGTGAGATGTAATCTGTCTAAGGGTGATCTCAACTTTCTTCCCATGAGTAGTTTGGCAGGGCTTTTATTTGTTGTTGCACTGGGTGTTATGTGCTGTACGCTTAATAATTTATCTATTTTTGCTTGCATGTCCCCTGGCCCCAGTTTCTGGAGGGTCTGTTTTGTGTATCGGACCATGCGTTCCGCTTGTCTATTCATTGACGGTTGTCCCGGTGCCGATAGAGCATGCTGTATCTGTGTTAGAAACCCTTCAAAATGGGTGGCTGTGAATTGGGGCCCATTGTCAGATACAAGTATGTCTGGCAGGCCATGTGTGGCAAATAGTTTCCTTAGATTTCTAATGGCTGCCTCTGTTGTTGTGGACTGCATAATGCTGACTTCCAGCCATTTAGAACAGGGGTGTCCAACCTTTCACCTTCCCTGGGCCAGATTAGAAGATGAAAATTTGGTTTGGGCCGCACATAAAATAAAATGACAGTAACGATACCTGATCATCCAAAAAAACCATAGAAAACATAGTTAACATATTAAATTTATTTGGAAGTGAAGTTAGTGAGATGTTTGACATTGTTTCTCAGCCACCAATGCAGAATTCCACAGCCAATTTTGTGTCAAAATCCGTTGTGTGAACCCAGCCTTAGTCTCCTGACTACCAGAAAGTGGCACAGGCCGCAAGATGGCGGAGCTAATATAGGATGGCGGAGCTAATACAATGGATGGGGCGCAGGGTTGCCAGATTGCAGTTTGGCTCTGCGGCCGAACTCAAGCCAAAATACGGCCAAATTATTTTTATTATTTATTATTAAAAATTATTTATTTTTTATCACGGTTTTTTTTATCACGGTTTATTTTCCGGCCAAATTTTGTGGGGGGTGGGGGAGGGGAAGAAAGCTCACCCACCTTGTGCCTACCTCTCCTCCTGCAAATGGCCCGGCTGGATGAGGCAGGACTGGCAGAAGCAGCGGCGGCAACGGCAACAGCAGGAGGTGGCGCTCTGAGAGCGCCTGCCTTTTCTGTTGCTGCTTGGTGTGGCGCTCACCTCGCCCCGCCTCGCGCCTGCCTCTCCTCCTCCTCCTTGCTGGCTCTGGCATGAAGGTTGGGGTGGGCACTGGGCCGCATTACGAGGCAACATGGGCCGCATGCGGCCCGTGGGCCGCGGGTTGGACAAGCCTGATTTAGAATATGCGTCCGCTATGATAAAAAATGTGTGTCCTTTTACTGGCCCTGCAAAATTGATATGACCTTGACCAAGGTCCCCTTGGTGTTTCCCACTCATAGTTGGGTGCCGTGGGAGATGCTGGCCTGTTTTCTTAGCAAACCTTGCAGACGGATACCCATGCCTCTATTTCTTTATCCATTCCTGGCCACCACACATAGTTCCTTGATAGGGATTTCATTCTCACTATCCCCGGACGCCCTGCATGCAACATTTCCATTATATTGTCCCTTAAACTCTCAGGAATTATTACCTGATGCCCCCACAGTACACACCCTTTTAGTATTGATAGTTCCTTTTGTTTGTTCCGGAATGGTTTAGTTTCTCCCTCAGGCTCGCAACAAAATCGTTGATGCTCTCTCCGTCCTTCTGGTCTCTCCGGTAGAACTCGTGTCTCTTGATTAGACTGGATACCGCTGGTGTGTAATGGGCCCTCAGAATGGGCCCTCAGGTCAGGCCATCGTTTTTACATCGCTTGGGGCTGTGAGAGCTTTAGCCATTTTGAAAACAGCAGGGCCACAATACGTGAGGAAGACAGCTCATTTCCTCTGTTCCATAATGTTCATCAGGTCACTGCTTTTCAGGAACATCTATCGACGTAGGATTCCCAGTCCTCGGTCATCAGGTCAAACAGTGCAGGTGGCATATTGTTCCCAGCCATGTTGGGTTCTTTCTTCAGTTGGTTAGCCACGTGTTCACAGTCCTGCTTCTCTCAGAATCCCACCTTCGTCACCAGTGTTATGTTGTGGGTGAGAGATAACATGGGAGGCTCTGATTGCTTAGCTTCTTTATTGCACTGTTCAGAACAACCACAGCAGCCACGGCAGCTCCTTTTATAGTAGAGCTGCTGGTAGCTACAACCAGTGATGGCTCTTTAAATTCCTGCCGCCATGGACAACCAATCAGAAGTGACTATGTAAATATCTAACAAAATACAATGAGATCAGTGTATCTTCATTGCTATCAGTGTGAAGTTTTGAAGCTATGAAGATGTTGTACATTCCTAACAGGGATCATCCTTTATTAAGAAATCCATTCCCACAACCTTATTGGTTCCAGAATAAAAATCCAAAGACATCTTCAAATAAGGAACTGCATAGATCGTCAAGCTTCCATTTTGCCTTTCAAATGTTTCCCAATCTTTACAAAATATAGTTCACCCAATTTGACTGTCCCGCAGGAGATGCTTTGGAGCATCAAGATGAGCCGGAGAGAGATTGATTGGAAAGTGGTGCCTGTCAGGAGGGAGAGTTAGAAAGTTCTTGCTGTTCTTTTTCTTTCTTTTTCTTTTTCAGTTCTATGGCATCCTTTTAAAAGAGAGCCAGGGGTTAAGGCATTAGATCAGAAACCAGGAGACCATGACTTCATGTCCCGCTTTAGGCACAGAAGTTAAATTGGGTGACCAGTCTCACTTTCTCATAGCCTTAGGAAGAAGGCAGTTGCAAAACCCTTCTGAAATCTTGTCTAGAAAATTCCAAGGGCTTGTCCAAGAGTTACCAGGAGTGTAAATTGATTCAAAAGCACACTCACAGCATCCTTTAATGTTGCTTGAGATATTTGCTCCATAGGACAGGGTGATGAATCCTCTCTCAGACCTTCCATCTAAAACCCTCTGCATTTGCTATTAAAGTAGAGATTTAGACTGGGGAAAAATTAGAGGATTCTTGATTTTCTGTCTCACAACCAAAATGATTGCATAAATGGAAGAGAAAGATCATTCTGAACATTTAAAAAAAGAAAGAAAATAAAGAAAGATAATAGGAACTAAAAAAATAGTACCTGAAATGATTGAATAAGTCCTGTTCCGCTCTGTGCTTTCTTTCACTCTGGGTTTTGCCATGGTTTTGCATAAAGTTTTAACAACTTCCCAGTAGTTAAACTTCATTAATGATTTGCAGTTTCAAGATTAGGCACAGTATAAACTTAGCAGGAAGTTGCCTTCCTATAAAACAAGAAGTTCGTTGTACTTTCGGCAAACTTTTACTGTAACTTACCAGGGCTTTATATAAACAAATGTATATAGATAGGGCAATTTACCATGGTGTGCTTGTAAACCTTGCCTGAGGTTCCTCAATGGATATATGCCTCAAGTTATAATGTGTAGAACATGAAACTTCACACAATGACTACATTCTTATAAAATGGCTATGACGCACCAAATAAATTAAACTTGTTTATTCATCTACACTCATCTACCATTACAAAAAGAGGAAAACAATGCTATGAAACTCCTGGCCAATTACACATTGATTGACTGATTGATCTCCAACTTTATTTGGAGTTAGCTTCAAACAAAACTCTTCAGTATAGTAAGCTAGTAATAGTGGTAGGCGATAGGGATATCAAGAGTATAACAGAATAACAGAGTTGGAAGGGACCTTGGAGGTCATCTAGTCCAACCCCCAGCTTAGGGAGGAAACTCTGTAGCATTTCAGACGAATGGCTGTCCAGTTTCTTCTTAAAAGCCTCCAGTGTTGGAGCAGTCAAAACTTCCAGAGACAAGTTGTTCCACTGAGTAATTGTTCTGTCAGGAAACTTCTATGTTACTTCTCTCCTTGATTAGTTTCCATTGATTGCCTCTTGTCCTTCCTTCAGGTGCTTTGGTTGACACCCTCTTCTTTGTAGGATCTATAGTAGGCTGTGATCCCAATGAACTCTCCCCAACAACCCTTTCAGGTTCTACTGGTATGAAATAAATAAAATGATGTAGGAGATGACCAGGCTGAACCTGAGGGGAAAGGGTCGAGCGCGTTACCAATCTTGAGTCTCTTCATGCTCATAAGAGATCTAAGTCCAAGCCATCTTGAATTCTGTTGATGCTTATGTGCTGCCAATTTGCTTTGACAATTAGTAGTTCAGATTCTTGTAGAGAGCATTAGCATACAATATAGGTAATCCCCTGGGTTAAGAGTGTTCATTTAGTGCCCATTCGAAGTTACGAAATAAGTGTCCCCAAGTGTTCACGAGCAAGTTCTGAAATCACAAATGTTGCAGCACCATGGCAGTTGTTCTCTCTTATGAACAATTGTAGAGGTCTGCAAAATTTACCCTATTTCCCCGTCTCCACTACCCACAATTCTTTCCCCCTCTCATCTTGGATTTGCGGTGCATTTCTCCTGCTTCCCCTTTCCAACTCTTTTCTACTGGAACACTTTTCACCCAGAAAAGTGAAAAGCCATCCGCTCCATTTTTAAGCACCCCTTTTGCAAGATAATGAAGCTTCTAGCCCATGTCAGTTCTCTGTTCGAGTGAAAAGTGTTTGGGCGCCCATGGGATGCTAGAAACAGATCCATTTAGAAACAGGAGAAAGGCACCACAAACACTTTTCCCACCCAGAATGAAAGTTTCTGGAGTCCATGATCTCATGAGAGTTCAGGCACCCAGTCTCTGCAAAAGAGGATAATTGCCTGAATTCATACAATATTGCGGCACCCAGGTGCTTCCATCGACTCTCCTCTCCCCCAAAGGTACAGAAACACAGAGGTGACAGATCTTGTAAGGTGAGTCCAGCGCACAGGAAGGGAGGTAGAAGCATGAGGTATCTTAGTGGGTTGGGTGGCCTTGGGGAGTCTGTTCTATCATTAGACACCCCCCCCATGGCCTTCTCCACCCTGAGTTATCTCATTTCCACTTAACAAACTAAGCATTCGATTAGTGAATGTGTGGGCAGAAAGCAGGGAGAGATCTCGTTCAAGGTAAGAGATTCACTCCTACGAATTCTTGAGGTACAAATGGAATGGGCAGGCTCCATTATATTTGTAACTTGAGGACTACCTGTAAGCCTATATTTGTTTGAACTGCCTGGACTCCTGATATCCCATACTGACAAGTTCATCTTAATAATGACCTTCGCTGTTTTCTTTTTTAGTCAGAGGTCTACTTGAAACTAAAGACAGAACACCAGATACTTCTCCAGAAGAGGGTTTTTTTAAAAAAGAAAATATTTTTTTTATTGAAAAGTTTAACAAACTTAAATAATATAAACTAAATGTCATGGTTCTGAGTAACGCTCCCAATCAATTCAAGATTCAGGCCTTGCTTCCTCAAAAATCCTGTTCATTGGGAACATCATATCAGCACGGTCAGAGATGAAACCAACACTGAATAATTCCCATATTTTTTGTATAATTGAAGAATATATACTGTCCAGCCCGCTTGTGTCATAGGTCAGGTTAGCCATCCAAGCAGGCGATGGACTTCTCAGCACTCCCTCGTGCCATTACTAGGGCACATTGATTCAGCCTTGGTTCTCAGGAGCCTTATTATTGTTATGTCTGGCACATTGGAGGAAAATTCACAACCAGATCAGATTAACAGAGTTGGATGGGACCTTGTAGATCATCTAGTCCAACCCCCTGTCCAAGCAGGAGACCCTACCATTTCTGACAAATGGCAGTCCAATCTCTTCTTGAAAGCCTCCAGTGATGAAGCTCCCACAACTTCTGAAGGAAGCTGTTCCATTGGTTGATTGTTCTGTCAGAAAATTTCTCCTTATTTCCAGGTTGAATATCTCCTTGTTCAGCTTGCATCCATTATTCATTGTCCAACCTACAGATGGTCCTTCTCTTCAGTAGACTAGCCATGCCCAGTTCCTGCAATCATTCATTGTATGGTCATATGTTCATCATATCTTCTCTGCACATTTTTTTTTGAATCTCAACATCTTTTTTATGGTGTGGTGACCAAAACTGGATGCAGGTGTGGTCTTACTGTGAAGAGTTGCACCATCTGTGCCACAATGAATAAACGACCAGGAACCACCACCCCCGGATTGCTACAGACAGTAGCAAAACCAACATGGACATGGGAGGAGATTGCAATGGATTTCATAGTGGAGTTGCCAAAAAGTGGAGGAAACATGGTCATCTGGACTGTAATAGACTTATTTTCCAAACAGGCGTAATTCATACCATGCAGCAGACTACTGTCAGCCCACCAGTTAGCCAAGCTGTTTTTGAAACACATCTACCACCTGCATGGAGTGCCATGGAGAATTATCTCAGACAGAGGAGTCCAGTTTATGGCCAAATTTTGGAAGGAGTTCCTGCAGATTATTGGGTCCTCCCAGGGATTTAGCTCAGCTTTTAATCCAAGTACCAGCGGGGGGGGGGGGGGGGGCAGAGAGATTGAACACCATGATAGAGAAATACCTGAGGTGCTATGTGAATTTTCAGCAATCCAATTGGGTGGACCTCCTGCCTTTTGCGGAGGTTGCGTACAATAATGCTGTTCACAGTAGCATGAGACTAACCCCCTTCAAAGTAGTGAACGGTATGAACTTCATCCAAATGCCTGAGTTTCCAAGGGATCCCCCCCCCCCATCATCACTCAGCCTGACCCATTGGATATCAACGCTGAAAGCAACTTGGGAGAATGTTAAAAAAGTGCTGGCAAAAGCAGCACAGAGCTATAAGAGACAGGCAGACAAACACTGGGCCCTCAGCAGCCATTCCAGCTGGGGATGAAGGTCTACCTCTCCACCAAATACCTGAGGTTAAGACTCTCTAGCAAGAAATTGGGGGTAAAGTTTATGGGACCATTCTCCATAGTAAAGGTCATCAACCCAGTCATGGTGCAACTGAAGTTGCCCCGATTGTTGGGGAAAATACACCCGGTATTAGTAGCCTCTTAAAACCCATGGTGGGATCGACCCTGAGGCCCCTACCTCGTGAGCCTCCAGATCCCATGGTCATAGGACGCCAAACCCATTATGAGGTGCAGCGAATCCTCTATTCAAGGTGGCACAGGAGACAACTCCACTATTTAATCAAGTGGAAGGGCTACCTCTTATCAGAGGCATCTTGGGTAAAGAGTAGGAACGTCCAAGCCAATCGCCTTGTGATGAGGTTCCATGCAGAAAACCCAACCAAGCCTGGGGGGTTTTCGCAACCCTATGTCCTATACCTGCAATAAATCTGTTTTCTTTTTGTGTTGTACAGGTCACCTTCAAGAAGTGAGGGGAGCCGAGTGTCAACTCATAAAATATTTCTATGTTGTTTTTAGAGTTGCCAACAGAGAGGGGGAGCCGTGCAACAGCTTGCAAAACTGAAATTGCATTCCATAAATGTTTTCAAAGATAGTAATTAGATGACTGAAGTTTCTGCCACGTAAAATTCTAACTGGAGAGTATGACTCTTGGCTATGGATGTGTCCCATTGGAGACCATGAATTACAATACACCCAGTGGTTGGGGGAAAACCAGGGTCAAGGGGGACAATACATGATGTGTCTCAGAGTACACCCAGGCAATGGCGGACCTTTTAACTCCCAATAAATCCTTTTGAAGTTTTTTCAAGTTTGGCTCGAGACTCATGATTTAAATGGGGTTAAGTGCCGGAATCCTGACACTTGGTTTTCAAACAATTTGTCTGACAGATCCAGATGGTATCAGATTCGGAAAGCTATCTTAGGACATTCTAAAAAATAGGCTTTAAAGAATCTTGACATGTAAAAGTACATAAGGTCACAGAACTAAGCAAATGAGCTATCTTCTCATTCCTGACCCAGGCAGACTTGGGGTAAGCCAGGAATCATTTTGAAATAAAAGCACAAAGCCTGTTGCCAACTAAAATCTCTCTTGGTTTTCATATTATGAAGAAATAGTGTTCTTTGAACTATTTGGAATGGGGAAGTTGAGTCATTGTGATTTGTGAACAGATTGTTATCCTTCAACTGTCTAAAAAGGCCTAAAGAATTTCCTCTTTCTATATTGGAACACACCTATTATTACCAGAAAGACTAGGGGGAAGTTTATTTAGAGATTCTGACTGCACAGCAGTGATGGGGGTTCAAATTTTTTTACTACTGGTTCTGTGGGTGTGGCTTGGTAGGTGTGGCAGGGAAAGGATACTGTAAAATCTCCACTCAGACATCTCGTATTTGCCGATTCTCCGAACTACTCAAAATTTCTGCTACTGGTTCTCCAGAACTGGTCAGAACCTGCTGAATACCACCTCTGCTGCACAGAGTATGTTTAATCTTTTTCCTACTGGTAAAAGTAGCGATTTAAAGGTTAATATTTCAACTGCAAATATACATAATACATATATTTACATAGCCGATATCTCTAAGAATATCTGTACACAAGAGCCGTTAAATTTTCACGAGTTCTTTCCGTTTCTTGGAAATTAAGTCAAATAAATCAGGCTTGCCAAGGGAGCGGATGGGCATTTTTTACTCCGAAACCGGACGACCCTTCTGGGCAAAGACTTCGATCACCGTTGCCCTGGGCAAGGCAAGTGAGGAAACGCCAAGCCCTGCAAACTGGCTGGAGGGAGCCCCTGAGCTCTGGGCTTCTTCTCCGAAGTCTGCAGAATTTAGCTTGGCCAAGCCTGGTTGGTTTGTGGCTTCTGAAGCGTCACCTGCCCTGCGAACTGTGGAGCCACCCCGGTTGGTTTATGTTTCAGCGGGCGGGATAAACCGAGATAATGGCTGCGTTGGATTGAATCCAAAGGCTGAATTTC